ACTTCTCTCATTCTGGGAGGATTTTCCATATGGATATGTGAACCCAACAAACTCACCAAGTCTAGTTCTTACATTTTTTTTTTCCAAATTCAAGGCTCTGTCTGTTGGTCAGTCTCTAATCTGAGTTCTGTTGTTCTTCATCTGGAGCAGTGGTCTCCAAACTGCAGCCTGAGGGCCGGATGTGGCCCTTTTCTTGCTTTTATCCGGCCCTTGGAGCACTATTTCATCTACTGATACCAACAATGGGGCATAATTCCCTCAACTGACACCAATGAAGGGGCACAATTCCTCTCAATTACACCAACAATGGGGCCCAATAACATTAATGGTGGGACAGAATTCCTCTCACTGACATCAGGTCCTTTTCTACTCCTAATGGCCAGTCCGCCCCTCCTAATGTCTGAAGAACAGTAAACTGGCCCTTTGTTTAGAAAGTTTGGAGATCTCTGATCTGGAGGAAATATTGGGAACCCCTACTGCAAATGACTAGGTGTCTGCCTACCCTGAACAGTGTAATGTGTGTCTTTCATGTCCACACTGTTCACTTCACACACCCAAGTACTGTTTATGGATGCCTGTATCTGATGCTTGCCCCCCATCCCCCACCCCCAATCCCAACCACCACCACCACCTTTTAAACAATGAGGGTCATCCATATTTGTGTGCCTCCTTTCTTCCTTGCAAGGAAATGTCTATCTTTTATATTTCCTCTACTTCCCTGTAAGGTCAGCCGACAGGACATTGTTTTCCCTCAATGGGATAGCGCAAGTTCTAAGGTTTTCATGAGGCCTACAGACTGGTAGATCCTCTGCCCGCTCTATTATCAGGTTAATGTTTCCTAGTATGTGCATACATGCTCACAGCTTCAGAGATTTTTGCCCTATTACAGAACTACGTTTTACAGAACGTTTCATGGTTCTGAGAATTATGTAATCAATGGTCAGGCAGTCTATAGTTTGGCTACCACATCCCTGATGCACTTTTGGGTGTGAGCTAGAAGAACTCCTTGTTATCCCTCTAGTCTTAAAATGGTTGTAAAGGCTGAAGGTTCTTTACCTTCATGCATTCTATACATGAAGGTAAAAAACCTTCTGTGTGCAGCAGTGCCCCCACAGTACTTTCCTGAGCCTCATCAGGGTTCAGCGATGTGACTGACAGCCTCACCTGTTCCGGGTCTCTGCCTCCTCCTTGGCTGAGATAGCAAGTGGGAGCCATTGGCTACTGCTGTCAATCACAGCCAGTCAGCCAATGAGGAGAGAGGGGGCGGGCCAAGCCCATGTGAATGGACATACAGAGCAGCAGGTGCCCCTATCGCAAGCTGCTTGCTGTGAACCCTTAGAATTGCTTTAAAGCCTTTGTATGCCTATTATATTAAAATATATCCTCACTCCTGTCTACCATTTTATCTGAATGCTTAAGGCGTGTTTGCATTGAAGTCAATGGAAGGCGTGTTTGCATTGAAGTCAATGGGAGGCCTTTTTGCATCGCAATCAATGGGAGGCTTTTTTGCATCGCAGTCAATGGGAGGCTTTTTTGCATCGCAATCAATGGGAGGCTTTTTTACATCGCAGTCAATGGGAGGCTTTTCTGCATCGCAGCCAATGGGAGGCTTTTTTGCATCGCAGTCAATGGGAGGCTTTTTTGCATCGCAGTCAATGGGAGGCTTTTTTGCATCGCGGTCAATGGGAGGCTTTTTTGCATCGCGGTCAATGGGAGGCTTTTTTGCATCGCAGTCAATGGGAGGCTTTTTTGCATCGCGGTCAATGGGAGGCTTTTTTGCATCGCGGTCAATGGGAGGCTTTTTTGCATCGCGGTCAATGGGAGGCTTTTTTGCATCGCGGTCAATGGGAGGCTTTTTTGCATCGCAGTCAATGGGAGGCTTTTTTGCATCGCAGTCAATGGGAGGCTTTTTTGCATCGCAGTCAATGGGAGGCCTTTTTGCATCTCAGTCAATGGGAGGCTTTTTTGCATCTCAGTCAATGGGAGGCTTTTTTGCATCTCAGTCAATGGGAGGCTTTTTTGCATCGCAGTCAATGGGAGGCTTTTTTGCATCGCAGTCAATGGGAGGCTTTTTTGCATCACAGTCAATGGGAGGCTTTTTTGAGGCTTTTTTGCATCACAGTCAATGGGAGGCAGTTGTGGAGAGAGAGAGAAAATTGCACCTGTACTGAAATCACACAGAAACCGGAATGACATTGTAATTTCAGCACACATATGTGTGAGCCCAGGTGCCACGATGCAATTTCTGGTTGCCATAGCGACATGGCGCCTGGGATTTGTTGAGTTCTGTCATGCATGATTCAAAGCCTAGCCAAGAGTCTAACCATGTATAGCTGGCTTTTTTGAGCAATTAACCCTTGCAATATGGGCACAGCCCTACTGTCAGGGATCATTTTAAAGTTTCCCAAGGTTGGGCTTTAAGAATACATGTGAATATTTTTTTTTTTCCTTTTAGTGTCACTGGCTTCCTGCATATTTTAGGATCTCCCTACCATAGTTCTTGGATTTCTTCATACAGCAGTAAATGCAATTTTGTGTTAAAAAAAAAAAACACAAAAACTTTGTTTTTGTACATACATGAGGGCAGTCATATTTATTCAGTACATACTGTATACAGGCTAAATTTCCTGCTTGGTAGTAGTACTGCACAATGACTGTGCTTCACTGCATATCTCCTTAAATGCATGTCTAAGGCTGGCCATACATTATACAATTATCTGCAGATTTTCTGCCCAATTTCCTTTAGATTTACCTTCAACTATGTAGTGCAAGGGCCTGCCTAATTGGATACAACTGAAAGTGTTGTTTAGGTTATCCTCCTATTATATGGTTTTTGGTAAATCTAAACCAAAAATCTGCAGATAATTGTATAATGTATGGCCAGCCTAAGAGTTAGGTCTGGGGTGACTGAAAACAATAGACTTTCTGTAATGTGAGCGTATCTTGCAGGCCATCAGATAGGGCTGCTGATAACATTGCTGGAGATTTTTTATTGTATTGTTTTGTGAACTGCCCTGCCCATGTGCACCTTATTTTAACAGCTAATTATAAATTGACGAGAGCAGGTGCTTTTATTGCTATGCCAATCGCATCCCCTGATAAACAGAATTAGCCCTCATGCACACTTGACGTTTTTACAGCTGTTGTTTTTGGCTTTTGACGTTTTTTTCTACAGCTAGTAAACCCCCCAGCATGTTATCCTGTGTGTCCATGCACACATAGACTCTAATCAATGTTTTTTGGCTGGAAAAAAAACCCCCAGGACTAGTGGGTTTCTAAAGGAGTTTTTTTTAGCTGTAAGAACGCTGAAAAATGCAGCAAAACGCGATAAAGGGCCGTAAGGCGGCGTTTTTGGACTTTTTTTGACCAAAAAAAAAATTCCTTTTTGGTAAATAAAAAACATGAACGAAACTGCTGCTAAATTCTAATGCAAAAATGCTTTAAAAAAGCTGCAAAACTTAAATTTTTAACGTGACTTTGCACAGCTAACTTTACCAGCATTATCAAAACGCACAGTGTGCATGGAGACTAAAACTGTGCCGTATAGATTAATGCAATAAATACAGAGATAGCTTTAAATATTTACTTTTCAATAGACTTGTGGCTTCAGTGTAATGTATGATTGTATGTAGTGGTAAACTACGCTCTAATAGTGCATGTCAAAAGTGGTGGTATTCGGAGGATGGAAGCTGTGAGCGCAGCAACTCTAATTGGCATCCATTGCTGACCTATTGAGCAAAAGCTAAGAACGATTTAGCCACTTTCCTTTTGTCAAGTGGCAATCCTCTCATTACATTTGTAGCATGAGCAAATGACTTCATGACTGTCATTTACTCCTTAACTGATTATATTGATTTAGGCTTTTGCTGGAGATGCTTCCTTAATTTATTCTGGAGTCGTATATAAAGCGTGTTGTTTTTAGTCTATGCAGTAATTAAAATAAATGTATTTGATGATTCTGGGATGAAGTGCTTGCTTCTTTAGCATTTCAAATTTAACTTCATCAGATTAGATAGTGTCATTCCATAATAAAAGAAGCTGGATTTACGGTTTAGATGTAAACACCTCTTAAGAGAATTGGGTACAATACTATGTATGGAGTATTAGCAGTAGGCAAGTCCTGAACCCCACTTTAGTGCATCATGTTTTTCCCCACCGTGCAGCCAGAAAGAGTTCTATGAATAAATGACTGTAAATATAGGTTGTGTTATAAACCAGCATTTCTGGATTTCCAGATAGGCACACATAAATTGTTTGCATGGCTCTACCCACTGTGTTTAAAGTGGTGCTTTGGAATGAGATTTGGTGATGTCATTACTGTGATGCTCACTTGTTTTCCTTGCTGGAGGCTCTGATATAAGGAAGCAAAGCTCTGCCTCTACCAAGATGCCAGCACAAAGAGACCTAGTGCAGATCAAGACATTAGTAATGGAAAAGATCACCAGCAGTTATTCACAAGCATTTCTGATGACTGCTCCTTTTCCCTCTGCTGCCCTTTTTTGGGACACAGCTTCCACAGTTCAGTTCCTCCTTAACCACCTCAATACTGGACACTTTTTACCCCCTTCCTGCCCAGGCCAATTTTCAGCTTTCAGCGCTTTCACACTTTGAATGACAATTGCACGGTCATGCAGTGTTGTACCCAAATGTTTTAGCATTTTGTTCACAAAACTTATTTTATTTTGGTGGTATTTAAGGTTTTTTCTTTGTTTCTGTTTTTGCAAATAAATAATTGTTCTTCATAAATTTAGACCAAGCTGTATTCTGCTACATTTCTTTGGTGCAAATAAAACAAGTTATTATTTAGTCTGTATTAAAGTTATAGAGTTCACAAATTATGGTATATATCTGAAAATTGATCAAGTACTGATGACCAATACGATTTCTTGAGGCCCAAAAATGTCAGAACAGTACAGGTATCCCCCAAATGACCCCTTTTTGCAAAGTAGACAGTAAAAAGGTATTTAGTAAGAGGCATTGCGAGTGTTTTGAACATGTAGCTTTTTTTGTCATAATTTTTTGGAAAATGAAGAAAATTTTCACAATTTTTTTTTTTTTTAAACATGCGGTCACCAGTGCAGTACAGAGTCATCATATAACTGGTGTGTGGTGGTGATCAGGGACACTGACTGGTGACAGTAGTGAAAAAAAAGTATATTTGTATTCAATTTTTGGATTATTTAAAAAAAATTTTCTTTTTTTTTTAAGACTTTTTTTTTTTTTAAGACTTTTTTTTTAAGACTTTTTTTTCATAATACACTGTGACCAGAGTAGCATACTGTTACCATAGTAACATTTTACTACTTTGGGGAAGTGATCAGAATTTTTTCTCTTTTTTTTACATATTATAATTGCTTATAGCAAAGAATCTCTTTGCTATAAGCAAGCATTTAACTGAATGAAATTGATTTATTCGGGATTCTTTGTTGTGAGTAGCTGTGGTTGGCCATGGCTAATCACATGACACAGATGGACTGTGATTTGCCCAGTCTGTGCATGTGATCACTGTGACCAATCACAGCTAGTGACACAATTGTATATGGATGGCATGAAAGGAAGTCGTCCATGGTTTACAATTGTCATGTGACCTGTTGTGATTGGTCACAGCAGGTCACATGGTACTGGCAATGGGCCGGTCCACAGATCTGTCATCGGCTGTGTCTAAGGTACACAGCTGGTGACAGATCTCGCCACAGCGTAGCCCGTGACGCGATCCAGGAAGGATGTCATATGACGCTCACTTGGATCGACGAGAGTCCCGCTCAGCTGTCATTCTGCTATTGTCCGGGGAAACAAAACCTTGTTTTGTGGATTTATTGTGGAAATTATGTAAATGCTTTTTGTTTTAAAGCAGTAGTAAACTGGGTAACAATTTAACTATTTGGGGCCCCTGTAGGTTTATGCACCACATAATAGCACATTATGACCAACTTAGCTCTTAAACAAAGTCTTCCAGCGGTGCGCTGTTACTGCTCCTGGTGCTTCCATCTTCCCCTTGTCTTCCTTTACGGTTCACATGCCTACACATGCACACAGAAGTCGTGATTGCGGCATGGTGCTCTGCATTTCACGGAACACTCTGCACCTTGAATGTAGAGTATCACTGCACATGTGCCACTGAGGTTATTGGCTATTGCCGATGTGCATATCTCCTAAACTATGGAGGTTTAGGAAATGTTCATTGTACCTAGAGCTAAGTCTTATTATAATCTTACCTGTAGGTAAAAGTTCATATAGACCATTTACTACTGCTTTAAAGTGTATCTAAACTGAAATCAAAAAGTATATGGTCGCATACCCTATGTTGCTTTGCCTCTGTAGACTTTGCTTTCGTTTTGTTTTGTCTATGAAGTGCATTCTCTTCTCCTTACTGTTTTTTAGGCTGACAACGCTGCTTGTATGTTTCTATGCAAGAGCAGTGTTGTCACCCTTAAGTAGTCTACTGCTGTGGACTACAGGCTGATGTGTCCTGGCTCAGTATGTCACCATGTTCAGCCTGTTTCTTTAGAATAAGTAAAAAGCATCATGGGAGGTGTAGTCCTTCATGAACTACCCACTTTACTGGTAGGTGCACAAACCTCAGTTATTGAAAGCTGCAGAGCTATGCACAGAATAAAGCTCTAAAAGCTTAAAAAATAAGCGTTCCATACAGTTTAGAAAAAAAAATGAGCAATGTCATTTTCAGCGCTGGTTCGTATGTAGGAGTAATGTTTCCCCTCTTATATACCTTTACATGTTATTGACTGTGGAGGTTTTGTGTCAGTTGGACTTTTTTTTTCCCAGGTTTAGGGGGTGTTAAGGTGGGTAAGGGTGCTGGGGCGGACTGACAACTCATGGGGCCCCCGGGCAATAGGGGATCATGGGGCCCCTGTGTCCTTGCCCAAACTCAAAAAAGCCTATGATAAAGTTACCAGGGGCATCTTATGTCCGCCCCTGTAAGGGTGAAATCTAAGATGCTACACAGGAAAAACATGGGCTCACTAAAATTGGGTTGTTTTATCCTTTGTAGGTGCCATGGTAAGTATGTGCTTTTAAAAACAATGAGTTGTATTTTCTTGCTGTATATTAAATGCATGTACACTCACCGGCCACTTTATTAGGTACACCTTGCTATTGCCAAGAAAATATCCCAATATCATTACGCCACCACCACCAGCCTGAATCATTGCTTTCATGTTGTTTATGCCAAATTCTGACTACCATCTGAATGTCGGAGCAACCAATCTGCCCGTTCTTCTGTGACATCAACAAGGCATTTTTGTCCATACAGGTGCCACTCACTGGATATTTTCTCTTTTTCGGACCATTTTCTGTAAACCCTAGAGATGGTTGTGCGTTAAAATCCCAGTAGATCAGCCGTTTTTGAAATACACAGACCAGCTCGTCTGGCACCAACAACCATGCCACGTTCAAAGTCACTGAATGTCAGCAAGTCGTCTTTACCACGTGCTCGTGCCGAATTGGCTGATTAGCAATTTGTGTTATAAAGCAATTGAACAAATGTTAATCCAGGAAATATCCGACTGCCTCTCAGGGGATCAGGAAGGCATTTATTTTTCCCTGCAGGAGCAAATTGGATCATGCTTTGCTGGGTTTTTTTGCCTTCCTCTGGATCAACTGTGGGTATAGGATTATAACTTTTTTTTTTTAATGGTTGAAGTGGATGGACTTTTGTCTTTTTTCAACCAGACTAACTATGTAACTATGTACCTCTTTCTGTAGGGATCCCTCAAGGTTCTGTCCTCTACTCTTCTCCATCTACACCTCCTCCCTTGGTCACTTGATAAACTCCCATGGCTTTAAGTACCATCTCTATGCTGATGACACACAAATCTATCTGTCTACCCCTCACCCCTTCAGTCTCCTCTCGCATTACTAACCTACTAAGTGACATATCTGCATGGATGTCACTCCACTTCCTCAAACTCACTCTTTCCAAAACTGAGCTCTTAGTATTCCCCCCAGCTCGTGCCCCCTCCCCTGACTTCTCCATCAAGATCAATAACACAATCATCATTCCCTCCCCTTATGCCAGGGTACTAGGTGTAATCCTAGACCCATCTGTCCTTTCACCCCTAAATCCAATCACTGTCCAAATCTTGTAGACTTCACCTCTGTAACATCTCCAAGATACGGCCGTTTCTAACCTTGGAAACCACTAAGCAACTTATTCACCCCCTGGTTATCTCTCATCTTGACTATTGTAACTCCCTCCTCAATGGCCTACCTCATCGCAGGCTATCCCCTCTTCAGTCTATCATGAATGCTGCTGTCAGACTCGTTAACCTTGCTAACCGTTCTGTATCTGCCATCACTCTCTGCCAGTCCTTCCACTGGCTTCCCATTGCCCAACGGATAAAATTCAAAAGATTAATAATAACTTATGAAGCCATTTATAGCTCTGCACCAAGTTACATTACCAATTTTGTGTCCAGATATCACCCAAACCGTACTCTCCGCTCCATGCACTACCTCCTGCTCTCTAGCTCCCTTGTCTCCTCCTCCCATGCTCATCTTCAGGACTTCTCCAGAGCTTCCTCCATTCTCTGGAACTCTCTACCCCAATTTATCAGACTATCGCCTACTCTGCTCACTTTTAGGTGATGTCTGAAAACCTATCTCTTCAGGGAAGCCTATCCTGCTCTCAGCAAATAATGGAATCTTCTACTCTTCCTACCAGTCTATCCGCCACAGTTACTACCTTTTGTATCACTAGCCCCTCCCTCTTAGATTGTAAGCTCCAAGGAGCAGGGCCTTCCTAACCCTCTTGTATTGAACTGTATTGTTGCTGTATTGTCTCCCTTATATTGTAAAGCGCTGAGCAAACTGTTGGCGCTATATAAATCCTGTATTATAAGAATATATAATAATAATGTACCTAATAAAGTGGCCAGTGAGTGTAGACGAACTATGTTCTGAAGGAATCCATCATATTAATAACATTTATCTGCTTTTTTCCTTAGTGGCCTTCATTTTCAACTGGATTGGATTCTGCTTGTCATTTTGCATAACCAACACAATTGCTGGACGCTATGGAGCAATCTGTGGCTTTGGATTATCACTGATCAAATGGATTTTAATTGTTAGGGTAAGTTGTTTTTTCCCCATCTGTTTTTTTTAATTTGTTTGTGCAGTTACAGTATATGGAAACCCTCACTTTGTAAAACAGCCCATTCAGTTTAAAATAGAATTGAAAGACAAAACATTTGTGTGTAGACATAAAAAAACCATTATATTTCTTTCCCTTTTTTATAAGTTATCACATTCCCTCTGTTCTCAGCTACATAAGAACTGGGGGAGGAGAAACAGAATCACACTAATCTTCCCAGTAAAAGGCTATGCAGGGGGAGGTGTGTAAGTTCAAGTCTGATCATTGGAGGAGAGCAGCAGGCTGAGTTCCCAGTACAGGTAGAGAACTGACAATGCTGTGCTTTCATGCCTGAAGTGGTCAGTTTTTAATAGGAAAACAGAGGGACTGGCAGAGAGAGAAGACAGAGAAAGGGATACTTTGTCATACAAGTAAATGGTACAGCAGGCACATTTCAGGAATACGAAATGTTGGATTTGCATATTCCAAACTTTTACTTGCATTTCTGGACTCTTATCTGTTGTAATTATATATTGTATATATAAGTATATTGATAAATTGTTATAATAGCCATGAGATGTAGATTCAACTTGGAAAGATGTTTTTTTTTGGGAGGTACTGCATACACAATCTAAGATACATAGTGCCTTTCATCTGTGCTCTGAAAGTAAATATGATAGGTAATTTCCGTAAACTTGTCTCATTCTTACACCCCAAACCTCTGGTGTTCTTTGTCAGTGTCCAATTAGGTGTTGCGTTTGTACACATGCTCTACTCCAGCTGGCCATACATCTAATTTTTGCTTGTTTAGCCCAGCAGACTGAGGCTCCATTCACACTTGTAAGACCTGAAAGTTGCGCTACTTTGGAGTGCTACTTTGACGCAACTTTGGATGGGTGTGACTTGTCCCTCTGCAAATTCTCACCCACTTTTGCACCACTGTTGCATGTAAAACATTCAGGTACAACTTTCATGCAACTTTTGAGGGTTAACATTGGAGTCTTTGGCCCTCAAGTTGCATTAAAGTTGGACCAAATTAGTACATGAAATACTTTACGGTTGCTGCCACTTTAAGTTGCACACATACAGTATGTATGGCTGTCATTGAAAAGCATGAGGTACAACTTTGTCATGCAGCTCTGATGTCCAAAGTTGCATGAAAAGTCACACAAGTGTAAATGGGGTTTTTAACAAGAAAAATCCATTGATTTTCCCATCTATGCTAAACGGTGTGGATGGATGACTCTCCCACTGTCAGCTTTTGTTTTTGGACAGCCAGCACCTGCAGCTGTCAGAATGCCCAAATACTTAACTGTAGAGGAATGCCTACAGTCACTGTTTGCTAGACTTTTTTTCACCCAACTCCTTTAATTTTTCAATCAACGTTTTTGGAGTCGTACGGTGTCACCAGGGTCACCCATGGTCTGAATCTCAAGCCAGTTCACAGGAATGTATGGCCTGCTTCCCTCCTTTTGCCTGCTGTCCCTTGCAATCACAAGTATCAAATGATGGACATCATAAAACAGACTAGCAATACAAACTGTAAATTGGTTGTAAATCCTTACATATACCCAGTGAAGTGACTGGCCTCAGGTGATACACAGAAAAGAAATAAAGTTGTATCTGTTTATCTGCAGTCTTCTCTATGGCCGTTCAACGTGCAGAATTTATACAGCTTGTCTGTGCTTTCAGAAAGCAGGGTGTGGGCGTCTGAAGTTGCACTCTGCAGACCTCAGTGAGAGCTGATTGGAGGGAAGGGACACCCCCCCCTTCACACAGGAGCAGAGCTGAGGCTGTCAACAACAGGCTGTGTTAGAGCTCTCCTCGCTTGTCACCTTTTTATAACCTGGTGTCTAGAAAACTTTTTAGAAGTGCTCATGTAAATAGCAGAACGACGAGTCCACAGACATAAATCACACTTAGTGCTCTGGATTGAAACAAGTATATACTATAGAAGGATATGCTTTGTTCATATTTCATGTCAGAGGTTTTCAACAACTTTAAAGTGATCGTAAATTTTTTTTTTTTTTAACAAAAAGCATATCATACCAACTCTGTGCGTTGGTTTTGCGCAGAGCAGCCCTGATTCTTCTCTTCTGGGATGCCCTGCAAGTGCTACAAGTTCCTGCTCATCTCTGTGTGCCGCCATAGAAAGCTGCTTCCTATGGTGGGACACTTGCATGTTCAATCATGAGCTGCGCTCTGTGTGTCATTGATGCACCCAGTGCATCTCAGCCCCGCCTACTACTCTCTCGTCACTGGATTTGATTGACAGCAGTGGGAGCCAATGGTTCCCACTGCTCTCAGCCAATCCTGTGAGAGCAGGGAGAGCGGAGAATAGCTGCTGCAGATATGCACATAGCTGGACCGAGATCGGGCTCAGGTGAGTATTTGGGGGGAGTGCTCATAAAAGCTTTTTTTACTTTAATAAAGAGAATGCATTGAGATAAAAAAACTTTTTACCTCTTACAACCCCTTTAATACCTTAGGCAAATGGCTAAATATAAATTCAAAACACATACAGTATGTGTGGGATGGTCTTACCTGCTACAAAAATGTATATTTGTGTTGGTCTGTTTTTCTAACTCAGACATCATAGCCAAGTCCTGAGACCATTTACTTCTATGCTGTAGTCCAGTCAAGGTAAGAAAGGAGCTTTTACTTCTGTGCTCTCCTGCAATCAATAGACTCCATTTCTGTATATATAGCACCTGCTCCAGGTTGGTTCATGGATAGCCAGACCGTCAGAAAAGGGAAAAATGCACATTTTGTTCACTAAAAGATTCTTTCTTTGATTCAGTGTTAGCACAGGACATAAGATTAAGCTCTGATGCATTTCCCGCTGTACAGAAGGAAAAGCTTTGGTGCTTTATATTGTGTCCTGTTGGAATTAGGAATAAAAGAGATGTTTTTTAGTGGACATAGAGTGAGATCTTCTTTTTTTTCTTTATTTTGGTGTTTCCAAGACTGGGAACAAGCCTAGATGATTTCTCTTTGATAACCTAGCTGGCTGGCTGGCTATACACCTACATACACCGGCTGAATCAGCTGAAATTCGAGCTATAGGTCACACCACTCAACTCAACAGCTCAACAAATTTCAGTTAAAAAAATCAAGGGAGCCAGGTGGAAAATATTTAGGCAGCACTGTGACTGCATCCTCTAAGGTAGTGTTTCTCAACCTTTTTGCAGTCAAGGCACCATTTACAATTATGGACAGTCCCGAGGCACCCCATTATAAAATGTGAAAAACTATTCTAATAGCAGCAACATCCACACATGTAGGACACCCAACATTAGAAGTGAATTATTCTTCCAAAGCAAATACACTTTTGCACACTGGTACTGACTAGTATTCCAATGGTTCTCCTCTCCCTCAGTTTTTCTCCATCACTGAGCTAATGTGACCCGAGCACTGATAGAGAGGGGCAGGGGAGCATCAAACTAGGATGCTGTGCAGGCAACTGACATCCTCCTTATCAACTGATGATGTCATTGGTTGTCAGGATGCCGGCTGCTAGAAGGTCGTAATGGTGCACAATGAAAACCTGTGACTTTGTGTAACTAAAAGACAGGCTTGTTCCACCTACTGGCTTGTATACAAGTTTTGGACAATGTTTAGACATTTTGCCAAAGCACCCCTGAAGGCATCCCAGGGTGCCTGGGCACCCTGGTTGAGAAAGGCTGCTCTAAGGTACAGTGAATGTTTGGCTTTCTTAACTACTTGAACTCCAGAAGGTTTTACCCCTTTTGCCTTTAAGGAGGGGCGGGCTCCCTCCAGGCATACCTGCCCTTAGTTGATCCATTCTTGTATATGCTCCTAGCATGGAGGCTGTGAAAATTCTAGAGCTAGGACCATAGTATACACAGAGGTCCCTTGACGTGGGCACTGCAACTTACTCGTATATTTTCAGATGTGTGCAAACAATACCCTCTGCTTTAAAAAGGTTAGACAGCAGGGTCAATTTGATTGTTTTGCAGGCTGGCTGGTAAGTGTGCTGGGAAATCGTTTGTGATGTGCATTGCCCTTCCATGTGCACCTTACTGCAAAGGGAAGTTATAGGTGGGGGTGGTTGCCACTGTTATGTACCGGTAGATGGAGGAATCTATTAGTTTTCTCCCATTTATTATTATTATTTTTATTACACAGAATTTATATAATACAAACAGTTTGTGCAGCAGTTCACAATATAAAGGGCAACAGTACAATTACAATACAGTTCAGAAGAAATAGGAGGGCCCTGCTCATGGAGCTTACAATCTAGCCCACAGGCTGAACAAGGGAAATATATGCGTGTATGGCTAGGCTTGTTCCAGTCTCAACAATACCAAAATAAAGAAAAGGGGAAGATGTTATTTAATAAAGCTGGAGAGTGCAAAATCAGGCTTATGTCAGCATAGAAACCAATCAACTGCCAGGTCTTATTGCCAAAGCTTAATTGAACAAGCCGAGGTTAGAAGCTGATTGGTTTCTATGCAGAATTAAGCCTGATTTTGCACTCTCTAGATTTAGTAAATAAACTCCTCTGTGTCCACTAAAAACCTCTTTCTTTTGTTCATGATTATCAGCAGATGCAAGGTAAAGCTCTAAAGTCTTTTCTTCTGTACCGAAGGAAAGGGCGTTCAGAGCGTAATCTTGTGTCTTGGCTAACTTGGAATAAAAGAAGCTTTTAGTGCACAGTGGTTTTTTTTTTTTTCCCCTTTTTTCTTTATTTGGAAGCAGATTCCATAGATTCACCGCACTGAGCGACACAGAAAGGTCTAATTTGTTTACATCGTTGCCCTTCCTCTCGTAGCTTTTACTAAGACATACTGCACTAAAGGGGTACTGTTTAAAATACATATAAGTAGATTTAATGAATATATAACCAGATTAAATGGTTTTCTTTCATATCTACCTATGGTTGCGCTTTAAGTATACAGTACTGTTTTGGTAGCATTGCTGTACATCTATTTGTCCACTGTGTGTCAGTATTGCTTTACTTTTTGTAGAAGCAGGTTTTGTTTGGGTTTTATATTTCTCCACTGTTCTGGAAAGATCTGTGTTTAAGCAATCTGAAAATGCCAGATTTTTCTTTTTTTTTTTCTTTTTTTTTTGTGAATACAGACTTTAACTCTGTATTTTTACATTATGAGAGTTAGAATTTAGCCTTTCCGCACAATACTGAAGATTTCCCAGTAAAATCTAGAAAAAGGTGCTCATATGCTGGTCCTAAATGATACAATATTTATTACGAAGACATAGGAAATAGCTATAAAGACCATTTATGTCCCACTAATGTTCTTGGGGTCGATTTTGAAATGCTGGGAAATCTCTGCACAGTGTTTTCTGCTTTACAGTGCTAAGACGGAACTGTTCAATTTGTGGTTTGATCTTTTACAGCCCCAATAATCTGGTGCATTCAAGGAAATGCTGCATCTGGGGAAAGATTTTTAGTACTGATAGTCAGCTCTGTGCACTTTTATGTGAGAGGTTTTATTAGGTCTGTCCAGTGCTATGGGAACCAAGGTCAGAGTCATGCCATCTGGATTGGTCTCCAAAGAACCAGGATGCACATATAACATAGATATTACGTTCCGATCTGCTGATATTGACTTCATCCCAGCTGAGATTAACTTTACCTCTACTGGCAGCTATAGTCTTTCCTTTATACAGGACCCGCAGAGATACACACACTATGCTCATCAGTCTTGTTCTGCTGGTGTGGGGGCTGATGTTAAACCTCTGTCTGTTCCGGTTACAATTTGGCACCAGCATCTTATTAATATACAATATATAGTTTTTTTTAAATCAGATTAAATTGGGTACAGTGGAGACCAGGGGCGGACTGACCATTTGGAAACTCGGGCACTACCTTTTTCATAGGCTTTTTTGAGTTTGGGCAAGGACACAGGGGGGGCCCCATGAGCTGTCAGTCCGCCCCTGGTGGAGACACAGATTGTTATGGATTTGTTGAAGAGAGAGCACAGCAGAAGCTCTTTTTTCTCTCTATGGCCTCATGCACACTTGACATTTTTATTGTGGCTGTTAGGGGTGTCTGGCATTTTTTTTTTCTCTGCCTCTAAACACCCCTGCATGTTAGCCTATGTTGTTCATGCACACATAGGCGTTTAGAGGCAGAAAAAAAAAACCTACTGGCAGTGCGTCCAGAAACAGCAGCGTTTTAGTGATTGAGCTTTAATACATTTCAGTGGCCAGAATAAATTGGTATTCTATCCAATGAAATGAATTAACACCCAAGCGTTTGACGTTCCTAAACCCAATACACGCATTTACAAATGTCAAGTTGTTTGAACTCTATGAAGAATAGCTTTTTTTATTTCAACAGAGCAGTTCAACCTGACCTCCAAGAATTCTCTTTTTTTTTTTTTTTTTTTTTTTTTCTATGTGAGAAAGCTGGAACGCTTACATTGGTCCAGCTTCATTACATAAGTACATAGGATGATTCATATCCACATCCAGAAGGTCATCAGGGATGCAGAAATTCTGTGTTGCATACATACAGTTGGCGTTAGTCATTTCTGGGTGCTGCGCAAGCAACTTTGCTGTGTTTGTATACTGAATACAGAGAAGGGGAAGGGTGGGGCGGGGAGTCACTCTTCATGCCGTTTAGAGTACGTCTTCAGTGAAAACCAGGTATTCTCTAATTGGATGAGGCAGAAAGGAAGCACAGGTTATGTTATGATCTCCGCTTCATCCAATCAGAAGATGCTTTGTTTTTTATTGAAAAAATACAAGAAGTTCTCTGAATGGCAGAGGTACCAAGTGGCCCCACTGTGTTGAGTATACAGTTGGCAATCACTCGGGCAGCACTCAAGAGACCAGTGCAACTGTATGTGCTGCACAGTTGCACTATCATTGATAAGTGCAAGCTATTTTGTGGTTCTGATTTCATATACATCATGATGTTATGGGGGTTTTTATGGTCTGGATTAAAAGTTCACCTTTTGAAAAAAAAATAGTACATGCACATTTTTTTGCAGGTAAAATAATGTGTATTTCCTTTTTTTTTTTTTTTTCTGAGGAGCCTGTAGAGCAGGCTGTCAAACTGGCGGCCCTCAAGCTGTTGAGAAACTACAAGTCCCCATCATGCCTCTGCCTTTGGGAGTCATGCTTGTAAATGTCAGTCTTGCAATGCCTCATGGGACTTGTAGTTTGGCAACAGCTGCAGGGCTGCCACCTTGACACCCTTGCTATAGAGCATTGGCACCCGCGGCTCCGGAGCCGCATGCGGCTCTTTTTCACCTTTCCTGATGGCTCCGGAGCACACTGGGGTGACAGGCAATGGGCCCTCGGCAAGCCGCGGCTCTTTTAATGTAGATCTGTGTGCAGGGCGCCCGCTGGCAAACTTGGCTGTCAGGATGTAGGCGGGGCAGCCCGGATAGGCGGGGCAGCGTGACGAACTCCTCCTGTCTCACAGTCCGCCCTGAAGACCAGAACAAACGGCGGGGAACCCAGCGAGAGGAGGCGCGGAGCAAAGTTAAGTGAATTCACACAATTGGGAATGAATTACTATGGGGGATGATCAATAGGGGGGATGAATTACAAGAGATGCGCTCGGGGGATGAATTACATGAATTACCCTTGTAGTTGAATTACTTTGAAAACTACAATGCATGTCAGCCACAATGGCTGATGGGGGGGATGAATTAGTACTATAGGGGGGATGAATTACTATAGGGGGGATTATTTCTCAGGAAACTGTGAATGAATGTTTACGGAGCCCCACACGGCCATGAATTTTTTCAATTGAAAAAATGAGAAGATCCCACACCCACTGTCACATGGAGGGAGGGATCAAGGGAAGAAGGTGCAGATGCTGGTTCAGTTTTAACAAATCTCTCATCATGTTACATGGGAAAAAATAAAATGATGTATGTCTATCTATTAAATCTATCTATCCACTTGCCTTCCACAAGATTTACCCCCCAATTCATGACCAGGCCATTTTTTGCTATACAGCATTGCAGCACAGCATTACTTTAACTGACAATTGTGCGGTCATGCAACACTATACACAAATTCTTTGAAAACTAAATTTCTATCATTTTTTTTTTTTTTCATGAAAATAGAGCTTTTTCTTGGTGGTATTTGATCATCACTGGGTTTTTCTATCCATTTGTTCCACAAGATTTACCCCCAAAAAATGAAGGCCATTTTTTGCTAAAAAAAAGACCAAAATAGTAAAACAAAAAACAACATAAAAATTCATGCCATTGCCAGAAGGTTTGCTGTGTGCTCTCCCAGCACAGTCTCAAGAGCGTAGAGGAGATTCCAGGAGACAGGCAGTTACTCTTGGAGAGCTGGACAGGGCCGTAGATGGTCCTTAACCCATCAGCAGGACTGATATCTGCTATTTTGTGCAACAGGAACAGGATGAGCACTGCCAGAGCTCTACAAAATGGCCTCCAGCAGGTCACTGGTGGGATTGTCTCTGACCAAACAATCAGAAACAAACTTCATGAGGGTGGCCTGAGGGCCCAACGTCCTCTAGTGGGCCCTGTGCTCACTGCCTGGCACCATAGAGCTCGATTGGCATTTGCCATTGAACACCAGAACTGGCAGGTCCACCACTGGTGCCCTGTGCTTTTCACAGATGAGAGCAGGTTTGCCCTGAGCCCATGTGACAGACTTGAAAGGGTCTAAAGAAGCCATGGAGAACCTTATGCTGTCTGTAACCTCATTCAGCATGACCATTTTGGTGGTAGGTCAGTGCTGGTCTGGGGAAGGCATATCCATGGAGGGATGCACAGACCTCTACAGGCTAAACAATGGCACCCTGACTGCCATTAGATATCGGGCTGAAATCTTCAGACCCATTGTCAGACCCTACGCTGGTGCAGTGGGTCCTGGGTTCCTCCTGGTGCACGACAAAGCCCGGCCTCATGTGGTGAGAGCATGCAGGCATATCCTGGAGGATGAAGGAATTGATACCATTGAATGGCCCACCACGCTTGCTTGACCTAAATCCAATAGAACACCTCTGGGATATCATGTTTCGGTCCATCTGACACCGCCAGGTTGCATCTCAGACTGTCCAGGAGCTCAGTCATGTCCTGGTCCAGATCTGGGAGGAAATACCCCAGGACACCATCTAATGTCTCATTAGGAGCATGTCCCGGAGTTACCGGCATGGATACAAGCACTTGAGGGCCATACAAACTACCGAGTACCATTTTGAGTTGCTGCTGTGAAATTTCAGCAAAATTGACTAGCCTGCTGCATCATTTTTTCACTTTGATTTTCGGGGTGTCTTTGAATTTAGTCCTCTGTAGGTTAATAATTGTAATTTCCATCAAACGATAGGGCATCCTTAGGTTCCTAACACATTACCCAGTCCATATCCGTTTAGATATCCAGCAGATTACAGATTACAAAATTTTTTTGTTTTCTTCAACTTAGTTGATGGAAAAATGAATATACCCCACAACATAAACTACTACATCTAGTATTTTGTGTGAGGTCCATGATTTGTAAGGACAGTACCAAGTCTTCTAGGCATGGAATGAAGAAGTTGGCGACATATTGCAAGAACAACCTCTTTTAGAGTGTCAAGGTCCTACCTTTTCCCTGAGGTTATGTTACTCCATGTGCTGGCGTCCATCTTGGATTCTGCTGTGCATGATGGGAATCCTTTTATGCCTTCTGGTTTCTGTGGTCCATCCCCCAGAGGGGTGTGGCTGATGACATATAAGCCTGTGGCCCGCACATGCTCTTTGCACTTGTGTCTTGTGACTTGGTGTTGCTATTACTCTGTTCTGACTCTCGTGACTCTCCTGGTATCTGATTCGGCTTGTGACTTGACTATTCTTTGTATTCTCCTTTGATCTGACCCTCTGTTGCTGAACCCGGCTCGTGACCTGTGATTCTCGTCTGCTGTCCTGTACTGTTTTGTCCTGTTGTTGTAGACCCCGGCTTGTCTGACTACTCTTTTGTCTCTTCCACCAGCTACACGCCATTGGCGGCGGCCATTACCGCAGCTGAGGTGTCTCGGGGCCGCGACCTGGTTCCTGGCTGCGTCAAGTCCATCCCCACCATCAGGGGCCCTGGTGAAGGGCAGCCTGGGACTTAGACTCCGCGCCCTGAGGGACTTTGGTCTGTGGGTGGTGGTTGTCGTCAGCCAGTGCGTTATATTGTTAGGCCTGCCTGTCCGTTCCTCAGCTCCTGCCCTGACATAGAGCCTGTTTGCTGGATGGAGAGTGATGCTCAACTTGTCTCTTCAGAATTCCCCATAGGTGTTCGATTGGGTTCAGATCAGGAGACCTACTTGGCCACTGAATCACTTTCACCCTGTTCTTTTCCAGAAATGCAACAGTGGCCTTAGATGTGTGTTTTGGATCATTGTCATGCTGGAAAAGTCACGACAACCAAGGGCACGGAGTGATGGTAGCATCTTTCAAGAATATACTGTAGATCAGTACATCTATGAATTCATGATACCACCAATGAAATTCAGCTCCCTTACACAAGCTGCACTCATGCAGCCCCACAGAAGGACACTGCTACCACCATGTTTCACTATAGGCACCATGCATTATTCCTTGTACTCCTCACCTGTGACGCCATACAGTTTTGAAGTCATCAGTTCCAAAAACATTTGTCTTGGTCTCATCACTCCAGAGTACAGAGTCCCAGTAGTCTTCTTCATTTTCAGCACAGGCCCTGGAAAATTCTAGGCGGGCTTTTTTGTATATGGGCTTTAAGAGAGACTTCCTTTGTGGACGACACCCATGCATGCCATTCCACTGCAGTATATGCCGTATTGTGTCATGGGAAACAATTGCCCCAGTTTTAGCTTTCTACTTCTTTTGCTAACTGCAGTGAACTTGTATGGCTATTTTCTTCAACCCTTTTCACCAGAAGACGCTCCTGTCGAAGGTGTTGACCTCTGTAGATGGTCTGGATGTCTCTGTGAGATGATTGCAGTTCCATCTTTGTAAAATTTTTGTATTGCTTTTGCTACAGTATTTTGACTGATAAGTAAAGCTTTGCTGATTTTCTTGTAGCCTTCACCTTAAATAA